CCCCCCCCCCCCCCCCCCCCCCCCCCCCCCCCCCCCGAAAAATGTCTGTAAGAACAAAAATACAAAACGCAAGCTAAGATTATTGAGTGTTTGAACTAGTCAGCATCACTATATCGAACGGATCCTTTTCATCCTCAGTGATATACTCTACTCTCTCTCCTGTGCTGGAACTATAACTACGATAAATAGACAAGGAATATATCACAAACGGTTTTTTAGATTCAGAAAACGACGTATCATCCTTGAGTCTTCAGGAATATGCAGAAATGGAAGAGGAGCGAATGCGAGAAGTGCCTGAAAAGTGGCCAATGACAGTAGCCGCAAGGATCGATGACACGCCTGTTCTTTTCAAAAATTTTTTGTATCAAAAACCAAGTGAGTGTTTGTTTTTCATTCCAGAGTAAAGAGTTTTGGTCAAAGATAAAGCGTTGATAAAAAACGAACCAGGCTTGTAGAACATAAAAAAATATATACAGATTTCTGGGAAGCTCATTTCCAGCGAGTGGCAACGCTCTACAGAATGTAAGTCAGACAGCCGGGTAGATTAACTGGGACACTCTATTTCACGGTGGTGAAATCCAGCAGATAAAGTTAAAAAAAGGATTTATTTCACTTTAAACTTTCACTAAAAGGCAAGATAAAAAGAACGATAAAATCCAACCAATTATCGCTCGTGTTTCTTTCAAACAAGTTTAGAAATCGTCGCAAACATCTCTAGGCAAGAGCAAGAAGTATTGTCTTCTAGTAATTCTCAGTCGAAATAAGTGACTGAGAGCTTGACCTTGTTGTGGATCATTGCAGTAGTGGGAACTCCTCAGGGACCAAAACTAACGGGGAAGACCTCTGGACGTATTATTGGGACATATCATTTCGTTCTTTATTAGTTTTAAACTTCCAGTTATGAACTGTTAGCCTTTAGGAGGCTTGCAAACCAGTTACCGTTGGTCCCGAGAGCACTGAAACTATTTGTTTGAAAACAAAACTAAAATAATAAATCAGGTAGCCCCCCTCTTTGTGTGCAAATTTGTTGATACCCCCCCCCCCCCCCTCTCAGACTGTCCTGCATTTGACGTGGCCCACCCCTTATTCTTGCCAGCCCACCCCCTGGCATAAATAATGAGTGGTCCCTAGTCTTTTTACACCATCTCTGAGGTATAAACAGAACTATCAGGCATTGTTTTCAGACCTCGGACAGAATTTATGTCATTTTCTGCCCTATTTTCATTACACAGTAATTCTTACAAGACTATTCATTCATTCAATATTCATAAAAATAACATCATAAATTATAGAAATAACATCATAAGACGTTTTTGTATAGAGAATTCACCATTAGACGGAAATGTTCAGTCCGGTCAATCTGCCATTATGTGGTATGCAGGATAATAATGGGCTTTGGGCAAAAACGTTCGAAAAAATATATTTTAATTCAATTTACAAAATCACCCGTCCGACCAGCCAATTCTGAATTTTGCTAAGCGCCAAAACTTACAATGCGAGCTGTCGAGTATTCGAATGAATCATTTACGTTTGCATTTCACTTGTAAAACACCATATTCATTTATACACACATTTTAAGTACTCCAGCAACTCAAACAACAACTAGCAAGGCGATAAGAAAGAGGTTTTGACAAAAATCAACACAAGAAATATAATTCAAAGAAACATTTAAAAGGACAACATTTTTTATTCACGAAGACGTGTATTTAGATGCAGTTCGGAAACCCATCAAGTAAGGCCAGGATCGCTTAACTGAGACTTTTTGCATAGTCCAGCAATCCGAAGTAGTAAGATTAGCTTATTTTTGAAAACGATGATTTCCGATTTCTTTTTGTCGAGCAGCCTATTTCTCAACCACAACCCAATAAACAAGCCAGCAAAGAATAGAAAAAGAATATTGATAACATCTGTATTTCATTTTGTCGATCCAGTGCAAAAAGACAGGTAAATACATTACAAGATGACACAAAACTCTGTCAGCTTCAGCTGTCAGTAAACAAGTCTCAGATGCTGCATAAATTTTCCACTTGAATCCTCTTCGCCAGCTCGCCTGTTTATTCTTGTTCTCTGCCTTTCTCTTCGTTCTCTTTCCCGTCGTTCTTCACTTACAAGCAAATAGGTTGAATTCTGAATCCGCTTTTGTTTGTTGCCATAACTACTTTTTTTTCAGAGCAGTTTACTAGAAACTGAGCACCACGATCACAAATCCTTAATCCTTATAGTTTATAATTGATCTAATACAACTAGAGTAGAAGAGCCTTAAATCAGCGCGAGTAACCTTAGCTCTCTTAATTTTTTGTACCAAAAAATTAATCTCTTAGAGGCCTTCTTAACAAATTTTATTAATATGGATATTCCACGTGAAATCACTGGAAATATTGAGACCCAATAACTTTACACTGTCTACAACTTCTAAATCATCGCTGTTAATGAGAATGGGCTCAAATTCTTGCTGGGATTTTGTAAGGGACATTCGCATTTCTTTGCACTTATCAGTGTTCAGCTGGACTCTGTTTTCTAGTGACCATTGTACTGCTCTCTCTGTAGTACGTTGGGCGTTGCTAAGTTCCCCTTTCGCGACTGTTTCGGAGATAGTGGTATCATCTATATATCTCCATAAACGTGCATTTTCGACAACAAGAGACATGGCGTGAGTGAGATGGGCCTAAGGTCTTTCTTTAAGATCTCCACAGGTTTTTTTTCTTTGGAAGCGGTATTACGTCAGCAAATTTCCATGATCGAGGTAGGCGTTGCCCCCTAAACGATGCATCAAGAATTCTGCATACCGGAATGGCAAAAGGTTAGCGTATTCTCGCAGAAGCCAATTTGGAATCCTGCCTGGGCTAATCGACTTAGAGGGATTGAGATTTGATAGGACGTTCCATACACGTTTCTCCGATACTTCCAGAAACTCGGGGGAGTCTTTTTCCAGGGCAAGGTGAGTGATGGGGCAAGACAGACGATACTATTCAAAAGGCGCAAGGAATGCTTTATTTATAGAGTTCGCCAATTCTTATGTGGATAAATTCTCAACTTCTTTGACGTTTATGTGATTAATTAAGAGATCACCTGAGCAGCCTTTCCTGCCGCATAATCGTTTCACCTCTCTCCACCAGGCTTTAGGGTCGTCCTTCCTTATATGCGCTACTCTTGATTCATAAAACTTTGCTCTCCAAAGCTTTCTTTCTCGGTTAACCTGATTTCTGATTTGCATTGAACTGAGTCCGCGCCTTTATTTAGGAATGCCTGTTGCCTTTTCCGAATTAGATCTTCCAAGTGTTGCGTCATCCAAGGAGCATCGCGTGTGTTCATACGGACTTTTCTAACTGGCATTAGAAGGTCAAGGCCTGTGTGTATAACTTGCTCGAAAACACAGAGTAACTCGTCGCCGGTTTCAAGGGAGCTAAGTAACAAAGGCCAATCCAATGAGCATAGATATCTTCCCATCTCTGCTTTTCGGCTGGGTTGTAGATCGCGTTTAAGAATGAATTTGTCAGCGGAGATGGTACCCGGTTTTCTCACCAGAGGTGAGACAGATATAGTATTGTGATCAGATAGGCCAAAGGGTAGGAAGATCTGCGGTGTGTCGTAGTGATTGTACAAGTTAGTTAACAGTAGGTCCAAAATAGCGTCCTTCCGGATTGGCGCTTTCACGATTTGCTTAAGATGAAAATGCCTTTTAAGCCGCGTGGCATCGAGGCGGTTAAAATCACCGGCTATAATTAGCGTACAGTTTGGGTAAATAGATTCAGCAACGGCCAGAGAGTTGAACAAATGCTCGCGGATGATGATATCTGCTCTGGGGGGGGATGACATCATACAGCTATCAGGCAAGAGAATCCTCTTGGAAGATGCGCAGGTCTCAGATGAAGCCATAGGATCTCATCGTCAGTAGAGCAACACAATTCTTCAAGACGATGATATTTGGAGCATCCATCTCTAACGTAAAGACAGACACCGCTATGGTTGTTTGTTGTCCTGTCCTTCCGTATTATAGTGTAGCCGGGGGTACTGACTGTGCTGTCTGCGATAGTTTCCTTTAGCCAGGTTTTCGTAATAAAGGCCAAGGAGATGTCAGTTCTTAGGAGAAACTCTTGTACTTCGTCGATCTTCGGTACAAAGGATAAATCAAATTGAAACGGATGATACAGAATTGAAATACAATAAATACACCCTATTTTCCGGAAATGTCAGGCAGAAAGACTCTTCTGTATACCTGCTCGTGTAGGATTTTACCCGGGCTGGTGCGCAGTACTGAAGAACACGGAATTTACACTACGATCAGGAGTGAGGTCTGCTGTTTATAAGTAACTTAACTCGATATGGTGACATTTTTTTTTCGCTTTTTTTTTTTTGTATTTTCTTTTTATATAAAGGCTCTAAATTGCCTATTGTACATTGCTTTTAAAGTTTAACATAAACCATTGTCCTAATTAGGGGTGACGAATGGTCTTTGCGAGCATTCGCGAGCATGCGAGAGCACTGCGATTTTTTTGCGAGCACGATCAGAGATAAAAAATTTATTTTGCGAGCAGCGAGCAGTTTAGAGAGTACAACTCGCGAGCAACGAGCACTTCTTATATTTTCCGCTTGCAACAATCCATATGGAAATCCTTTTCTTTAAAATAAAACAGAAAATATTTTTAAAAGACAGTGTGATACTCATTGCCAAGTTCAAAGATATCAGTGGACCCTTTCTTTTAGAGAACTTCGTCTAAAGTAAAAACACACCTGTACGCAAGCGATGCCGAAGATTGTCTAATATTCAAATACGAGTTCACCACTCAGGTAGAGAAACATCTTGTGACTGGAACCGTTTGGGAAGTGCAGTTCACAGACGAAGATTTTCATATCGATTTAAACCAAGAACTCTACTAAGAATGTCTCGAGCGTACAAGGGGGGTTGCAGAAAGGGACATGACTGATGTGGATGAAGAAGAACTTGAAGTGGAACAAGATCCTCGTGTCAGAACAACCTCTTCTGGAAGAATCCTAAAGCTTCCAAACCGTTTTTATTGAAAACACGGCCTAATTAAACCCCAGTGAGTAGAGCGGTAGAGAAACTCAGAAGAAATATAGCTAACAATATCTTCTCTTTTTAACCATCTATAGCTAGATTAGCTAATTTATTATTTATCGTTCTCATTTATCGCGTGCATTTCCACTGAACTTGATAGCCATATTTATAGGAATTAAGCACCCTAAAGAATTACATTTACTTTAATCCAAAGAAGGATCCACAAAATCTCGAACAATACTGACAAGAAAGCGAGCATGCGAACAACTGCAAAAATTTTGGGAGCGCGAGCAGGCGAGCACTCGTTTAAATTTTGCGAGCAAATCGAGAAAAGGTAAAATTTTCCTAGCAGTTAAAAATTTTAAAGGACCATTCATCACCCTTCTAATTCATAGTATTACTGAAACACTCATGAGCTCTGATCAGTTTTTACGGTAGCAACTCTTCCTTTCTTCTCGGTATTATAATTAACGTCAGACGGACATTCATGAAATAAAAAAAAAAGAAAAAAAGTAATAATTAAGTAAGTTGAGGATAGTCCTTTCGTTTCATGAAAAATAGTTTTTTGAGTCTAAAATACCTGAAAGGTCATTCAGCATTGGGAATGTTGATCCTGAGTTTTGTTAATCACTTGACCGTTTTAACCGTAGGGAAAGTTTGAAGCTGAACGAAGCAGAACTTCTCTTTTATCAACAGAAACTTTAATATGTGTCCAGCTGCTGTTAATAACAACTTTAAAAGCTAAAACCGTTTAACT